ATAGTAAACAAATTTAATTCCAATTTCTAATCACTTTGTATATTAACAGAAAATTAGATAATAAAATTTACTATGGATCTTCTAAGAATTTATGGAAGTAACTCATTCGCATCTTCTCTGGATCTTCCTAGAGCTAATGTCATCCTCAACCATCGACAAGAATAACTATAAAGTTTGTTGAGTAAGTTCATGAAGAGTGTTCTCCAAGGCAAGAAATGTCCACAATCCTAAGACTAAAGAGTATATTGATGATCCATCGCTTATTTATGTGAGCATGGAGCTCAAGTTACTTTTGTTTCTAAAGGTGTCATCTGGTTTTGTTTCTACCACCTTCGAATGAGAATTTAAAGGTAGTCTAGGATTTGAAGTGAGTGACGTTCAAATCTTAATTTGTGATTGTCCTAAGATTGATCATTTATGTACTTTTTTTTTTGGATAAGCCAATTCGTCGTCATATGGTGTATATTTTGATAAGATTGAGTATGTAGATTTCAATGTATTGAATGTAAATCACACCGATTATCCACAAATGCTCTCATGGAGATCACCATTCTAGACTCATATTGTCTTCGAGATTTGAYTTTACAACAACAAGCATGAATAAYATTTGAAGATTGAAACAAWGTACTTAAACGCAATGCTCAACGGCAAACCCTCTAGCGGGAATCACATTATTATCTTCATAGAAAACAAGAAACTAATTAAGTTAGTAATAGTAGTACTAGAAAGCCAACTGACATAATTTGCCTTATTCACCAAATATACAATCATTAGAGTACGTTGGTGTTTGATTGGAAATTGAAATTGTTATATATTCATTGCTGCCTAACAATTATGAATATATGATTTCAACTTTCAACTTCCCAAATCTGATACTTTCTTCTGGAAAAGTTGTAGTCTATGATTAATTAGAACTACCTCATAAATTTTACTTCTTCAAAATGCATGAGAAGTATGTAAAATATATATATATCCGGTTGCACCAAATTGAGCCACAAATAATTCTCATGTGCTTAAGTTAGTGATCGTGTTTTTGACATGTTATTTCAATTCCTATTTGAAATCCTAATCTTCCAACAAGGATTTTAATAATAAAATCACATTTGAAG